GAAACAAGCTGAGTGTGATTTTCCTGGGGCTGAGCCATCTTAAATGGCTCACTCATTTAAAATTAAATCAGACCGTTCAGCAGCACCCTTCAGGGTAATGTCCATCTAAAGGGAGATTTCCGGCAGCTCTCACCTGCATCTTATTCTGTTTTGATCAATGCCCAAGTACAGGCATTGCCAAACAGAATAAGGAGATGTGGTGAAGATATTGGGGGATATAATCAGAATCCAGATGTGTTTTGACAGCTTAGACTTACTCTAACAAGAAGAAATTAAACAGGGCCACAAGTAAACTACATCCAGGTCCAAGATTAAGTAGATTGGGTTTCAAAATGGCATACGTGTAAAAGAATGAAAGAGTTTAGCTGACTGTGCATCAGTGGTATGGCATGTCTGCCAAAAAGGCCGGTGTGATATGAGGCCCCATTAAGAGAAATGGTGTTGAGAATGAGGGAGGTGATAGACTGGCCCTTCTTGTCACTTGTCAGACTGCACCTGGTAGGCACATTTAAGTAAAGTGGGATGGGATATATTCAGGGGGAAACAAGAAGACGGTGAGGGAACTTAAAGGAGTGTCCAGAATAGTTGAAAACCATATTTAGCCTTAAGAAGAGAAACTTTGGGGTACTTAAATTCAGTCTTCAAAAGAGCTGGAGCCACATGTGTGGAAATCAAATTCAATCTGTAAGTAGGCTGTCACGGTTTGAAACTATCACTTTTTGCTGGCAATGCCACAGCTTTATCTTAAAGCCAATTCACCCTGTGAGTGCTGTATCTGTCCATTCAAGTCTCTTTTTGGATGTTCCAGGGCACCTGAGACCTTCCACCAGAAACCCGGAGGTATCCTTAACCCTCTTCCTCCCTCTCTCCTACATTCATTTGGACACTAAGTTCTGTTAACTCTACCTCCTGAAATTTTCTCTAGTCTGCCCTCCTTCTTTTGTCCTGTTTTCTGTAGTAACCTAGGCTAATTTTCCTAATTCCATCTCCACACACCATGCCGAGTGAGCTTTCTAAAACACCAATTTCATCATGTCCTTCCCCTGCTTAAGCCCCTTTAGAGGACTCCCTGTCATCCACAGAAGTCCAAATCCTTTCTTGGAGGGTCCGAGGCCTTCCATAGACAGGCCCGTGGCTAGCCTTCCATCCTCATCCCCTTCCACTCCTCCTTCATTCCCAGAAAGAGGTTTTCAATGCACTTCTTACACACACACACACACACACACACACACACAACAGGCTAGTTTGTGCCCTGTGACTGTGTTCATGCTCTTCTTTCTTTCTTTCTGTCCTTTTTTAGAGACAGCACAAGCACAGGGAACAGCAGGGAGAGGGAGAAGCAGGCTCCCTGCTAAGCAGGGAGCTCGATGCAAGGCTCGATCCCAGAACCCAGAAATCATGACCTGAGCAGAAGGCAGAGGCTTAACTAACTGAGCCACCCAGGCACCCCCATGCTCATCTTTCTGCCTCATACCTCCATTCCTCTTTTCTCTTCTAAATTCTTGTTTTTCAAAATAAGCCTGCAGAAACTCTTGCCTATATTATGAGGCTAAGCTAGGAAGCCTAGCAAGGTGCTTTCATCACACTTTGTGCTTGCTCCAGCCATTAATAACATGCTATATTGAAATGTCATGTCTTGGCACTGCCAGCATCCCCACAGCCTGCCTCAGTGGCAGGCCCACATGGGGCGCTTGCACTGAAATGACCACAGGAAGGGGCGCCACCCATGTCTCTGCCTCCCTACTCCCACTCCCATCGGGGTTGGGCTGTCACATCCTCAGGTGTCCTGTGTGGGGAGACTGGTGCTCTGACATTTCCCTAACAACTCTCTACTCAGAATAATGAGCCTCCTGGATCCTTTGCCCAACAAAATCTCTCAGATGTTATTCTCACCTACATCCCACCTCCAACACACGCTGGTATTCGGGAGGCCGCTGGATACTCCCGGAGACCAACCTTTAAGCAGATCTGCCTTTTCACCCTTGTGATCGTTCTTTTAAGCAGCAGCAAGTGTGTCCAATTGAGGCAGTCTGAGAGGCCAGGCCTGTTTTCCCAGGAAGAAGTGGGCTGTGGGAAATGACTGCATCTCCAGAGCTGTTGTCATTGGAGCAGAGGACAGCCGCTATCACTGGGGCAGGGGGTGTGTGTGCGTGTCTGCGTGCATGTGGACTCCTCTAATTTCTCCATGGCCATGAGAATTCCTGCAGCATAGAGACAGAGGCTTCCCACGCTGGACTACCATCAATCTCATATGGACACAAGGAGACCTTCAGGTGGAAGGAGTCACACATCCATAACCTGAGAGACTCCAGACATCTATCTCTGCCTCTCTGGGGTGCCCCCTCTCTCTTTCTATGTGAGGATGGTGCTTATAAAACATTGCTGGCGGGAATCCCTGGGTGGCTTAGCGGTTTGGTGTCTGCCTTTGGCCCAGGGCGTGATCCTGGAGTCCCGGGATCGAGTCCCACATCAGGCTCCCTGCATGGAGCCTGCTTCTCCCTCTGCCTATGTGTCTCTGCTTCTCTCTCTCTATCTCTCATGAATAAATAAAATCTTAAAAAAAAAGAGAAAATGACATTAAAAAAAAAAACATTGCTGGGGACATTAACCCTGCTGGTTGGGATCTACCTGTTCCAAAAGACAAGGGAGTGTTTTTAGGAAGGAGAGCCTCAGACTTGCACAGGGGTGCACTTTAGGATTTACCAGAAGATGTCACTGTAGGCTTGAACCAGTATGAAAAGTCAGGACATGAGGACCATCAACTAAGCATGAAGGTGACTTTATTATGAGGGTTTAAAATACCTAACAGCCCCAATTATAATGCATGCCTGGTAAAGCTGGTTGAAAGATTAATCCAAATGTGTCACTGGACTTCATAAATTTCTTTTTTTCCAAATAATCAGACTAATTGCCACTAAACTATCGCCTCTGGCCTAGCATAAAGACTCGATAAATATGTATTGAATGATGGAGTGAATGAATACGTTAACAAGGGGCCGAAGGAGAAAGCGCATGGGAATAGTAGTTACCTTTGTTGGTAAAGGCTACGGGGCTATGGAAGCTGCTGGCCCCATTAAGCAGTGGGTCTTCAAAGACATGGATTTTCGTGGCAGTAGCAAGTTCAGTCCTAGGAAAAGCAGTGAGGTGGGTGCTCTATCCTCTCTAGCCTCACTCCCAGAGGCTTCTCCTATGCCCAATGGTTGTTTATTCCAGAAAAATAGGTAAAGTAATAAAAAAAACTTTCTATGATATTTTCAAGGCACTTAGATTATCCAGGGTTTTTGTATGATGAGGCATGGCCTCCCTGGTCCCCAGCTCCCTCCATCCTCTTCCCCAGAAGTTCTAGGAGAATAGCACAGAGCCCCTTTCCTGAAAAACGTAGTTTAAGCAGAAATACAAACAAGGAATCACAATTCAATATCAAAAGTGTTTTACCAAAGGCTAGGTGTGGACGTGTGATGGCACCACAGAGGAAGAGGTGGGGGCTGGCAGCAAGGGGTGGGGTAAGTTTTCTCAGAGGAAATACAGTACTTGGACTACAACTTAAAAGATGTTTAGAATTTTCTAATCAAAGAAGGAAGGTCATGCCCAGCAGAAGAAACACCATGCACAGAATAGAGGCATACAGGATAAACCCCAGGATGCCTGACTTGCTCAAAGCCGGAGACTTGGGAGAACCGTTTTCACAGAGGACATCAGCCAACAGACCCAGCTCCCTTTGGCAGGTGTACAAAACCACCACTATCTCAGATGGGAATGAATAGGTTTCACAATAGAAGCTGCCAGCCATTCTCCAGGTTTTCTATAAGAAACTAAATGCTAATAGTCCGTGTTCGTTGTTCTTTTCCTTCTGCAATATGCCCTTTCTTGACCTCAGCCTCCATCCACTGAATCTCAGTGGCAGAAAAAAAAAATTTCTTAATTAAAAGCACAACCCCAGGGTCATTTCTTCCCTTGAGTATGTCTGATCACGTCTTAGGCTTTGACATTTCTGGGGTGTGGTGCATGCATGTGCACACGCTGTGTGTGTGTGTACCCGCTGTGCATGCATGCATGTATGGTTTCAGTGTTCGTTAGTCCACTATTTGAACAAAGAACTTTTTCAGTTCACAGCTTGAAAGTGAAGATAGCCATATAGCAGAGCCTTCACACTTGCTGACACCCAGGTATCCTTTCAGTAGTTAAAAGAGGCATTTTGGAGCTGATAGAGTTAACTTTGCTCTGCTGGGAATATGACCATGTGAACAAAGGCTGAAACCGAGGTGGTAGCTTGCATATGTGCCATTGGCAGCTACTGTTTCTATTTCAGTCAGTGACTAACCACAATGTTTATTTCTGGAGGCCCTGGGCTGCTCTGCCTATCTCTGCATGCCACTTCCATAACCAATGAGCCATGATGTTATGACAACAGCCAGAATCAAAAGCATCATATCGACACTCTTCTGAAGAGGTTTTGTTTCTTAATAAAGTATCCTGATTAGGCTGGATATTGGGAATATGCTTTCGTCTATTTAATAAGAAAGATTAGAATTTGAGCTCACTTATCAACTCCATTATCACTTCAGTAAAATCCCTTGCTTCCACTGGTGTCCATTTAGTGATCAAAATGGAGGCTTAAGGGTGGGGCACATGAAATAAAATGGTTGCCTGCTTAGCAAATGAGGTTGTCAGGAGGATTTTGTCATCGATTGGAGAAAGAGAAACAGGGGGAGGGGTAAGGGAGTGAAGATGACAAGGATGATGTTCTGGGCCTAAACTTGTCCTACTTGCATTAGCTGCAGTACCAGCAAATTGGGTGAAAGAATTAGCTACCTGGACAGGCTAGTGGGACTCGGACAGCAGACTACAACACAGTTCACCAAACAAATGCCACCAGATCACCATCATTCCCGTTTTGCTTTCCTTACTGACCAATGAACATCACATATGCCATGTACCTCACTGACTCCACTTATGTCACCCAAGAGCTCTGACTATTGGTCTTTGCGCTTTGTCCATAGGAACTTCCACTACATCACCATCCTCCGAGACCCAGTGTCCCGGTACTTGAGTGAGTGGAGGCATGTCCAGAGAGGGGCAACATGGAAAGCATCCCTGCATGTCTGTGATGGAAGGCCCCCAACCTCCGAAGAGCTGCCCAGCTGCTACACTGGTGATGACTGGTCTGGCTGCCCCCTGAAAGAGTTCATGGACTGTCCCTATAATCTAGCCAACAACCGCCAGGTGCGCATGCTCTCTGACCTGACCCTGGTAGGCTGCTACAACCTCTCTGTCATGCCTGAAAAGCAAAGAAACAAGGTCCTCCTGGAAAGTGCCAAATCGAATCTGAAGCACATGGCGTTCTTCGGCCTCACTGAATTTCAGCGGAAGACCCAGTATCTGTTTGAGAAAACCTTCAACATGAACTTTATTTCACCATTTACCCAATACAATACCACTAGGGCCTCTAGTGTAGAAATCAATGAGGAAATCCAAAAGCGGATTGAGGGACTGAATTTTTTGGATATGGAATTGTATAGCTATGCAAAAGACCTCTTTTTGCAAAGGTATCAGTTTATGAGGCAGAAGGAGCATCAGGAAGCTAGGCAGAAGCGTCAGGAGCAACGCAAATTTCTGAAGGGGAGGTTCCTTCAGACCCATTTCCAGAGTCAGGGCCAGGGCCAGAGCCAGAATCCGAGTCAGAATCAGAGTCAGAACCCAAATCTGAATGTCAATCAGAATGTGACTCAGAATCTGATTCAGAATTTGACTCAGAATTTGAGCCACAAGGAGAACCGTGAAAGCCAGAAGCAGAACCCAGGCCAAGAGCAGAGCGATGGCAACACCAGCAATGGCACCAATGACTACATAGGCAGCGTAGAGAAATGGCGTTAAGTGGCTCCCAGTGGCCTTTTACATACTTGTCCCAAAGCGCCAGTAGAGATATGGCAAATCTTAAAACATGAGAGTTTCCAAATACATCCTGCTTCCTTAAGTTTGGAAGTTGAAAAAAAAAGTTAAGATGTTGCCTTTACAGTTGCCTTTCAATTAAATGTTATACTGTGCATGGGTAAAACAACTTTCAGTATGTAATAAAATTGTCTCTTTTTGGTTTGTTGGAGTATTTATAAAATCCAAAAGCCAAACCAGACTTACCAGAAATTGCTGTTTTGGTATTTTAAAAAATGCTTCAATTAGCTATAGAGACAAAATGAAAACATAAAATGTGGCCACCCAACTTATGGCTAAGAAATGGACTCCAAATTATTCATGATACACTGTTAAAACTTAATCTTGGAAGCAAACATTCGTTCCCAGGGGTAAGCATGAATATACACATTAAAAAAATGAAAATTAACCACAAAATCATTTATTTTCTTTTGATTTTAACCAGGCATCTATTTAAATGGAATAAGAACTGATGGTAAATCTTATCAAACTATAGAAACTAAGATTTTTCTCTCCCAAACATGGGCAGTTTTACATAAAAAAAATATTGGCTTTTCAAGTAGAACAGGATTCATATCTTGTTATTTAAGAGATGTCTAGAATTTTCAACTTTTTCTACCTTCTACTGTTTAAACATGGTAAACAAAAACACTTTTCTCCCAAATGGAATACCGGCATAAAGATCTAATTTTCAGACGCTTTTTGGGCACTGTAATTTCAACAATTCTGGAATATTTTTGGCGCTGCTTCTCATTCATTTTAAGGCTTCTCCGAGTTGTGCTCATTCCAAAATAACCCATTTATAGAATCTTTCTTCATCATCTAAATGGTGTGTTGCTGAGTTTCTTGTGATATATAATCCTGGATTAAAGTCAGGACTTTCTTTCTATAGAATTGTCTTATCAATGTTTGTGTAGTGAGCTCTTTATCAAGAAACTCTTGAGCAGAATAACATGTCTAAAAATATTGCTGAAGTTATTCTTGGTCAGATAGAATTGAACCTGAATGTGAATGAATTGTTACTGACTTTTTGTACATTTTTATTGTGCCGTTTCCAGTTGGGCTGGCTACTTCTAGCCGATTTGTTCTTTTTTGTATTGACAGATTGTAGACAATTATGAGATTTAAAAAATGGTAGAATGAGTATTATGATAGCCAGATATTCAGTAACATCAAAAGCTGTACCTCAATTACTTTGAGTCAACCATCTACTGGGTTTTGTTTTAAGAAAGAACAAAGAGTGTTCTGCAGTGAGGTTAAGTCTTGGGAGCATATGCACTGAGGAGAGTGATTTTATATTGTCTCTGCACAAATACTTGTAGGGTATCAGTATCAATCGAGCAGGGCCAGAAGAATCATGTCACCCACTGTTCTAGCAAGCATCATGATTCTGGGCATTTTCCATTTTATGGATTTTGCCATACTTTGTAGAGACTTACACTAAGCCCCTGGCTGTCGATCTAACAAGACAACTGGAAGTAGCATTGATGTTTTCAGGAGCGATATGCTTAGAAGTGTGACAATAAAGTCACATCTTGTACAATCTGCTGCTTATCTGCATGATCTAGTTTCATCTGTAATACTATGGACACAAGCTGGACAAGAAGCTGAGTATTTGGATTTAAAGATGAATTATCTTGACTCTGAGCTTGTATCACTATATCTGAAGTTTGTTTCGTCTGACAGTATTGCAGTACTTGGGAATTCTGAGAACTGAAGAACTGAAAGGAATTTTTTTAAAAACTCAAACACACCTTGAAGTCAATGTGTTTTACAGTGAAACTATTTTGTGTATATTGTGTTTTTAAAATAAAGATCCTGTAGATCACTGTGGTATTTCAGTTTTGTTTAGTTTTAATTGACAACGTTTGCTCTTAAAACTGATAGGTACTCTTGGAAAGCAGGATAAAGCCCGAGCCAGTGGAAAAGCCTGTTACAGAAAAAAACCTTTTGTGTTATTGCTGTGGTGTGCATGGCTTGCAGAGATGAAGTGCATTTTCTCAGTCTATACTGATCATTGTATATAGGGGATGTTATAAATATACATTTTTGTCATCATCATATAAATCCCATGATTTCAACTGTAAACATCTGTCCAATGGTGTAGCTTTACAAACCATTCACTGATTTTGTGTAATTTAACAATAGATATGAAATAAAGTTTAAATTACAGACTCTGAGTAATTTCATGATTTCAAGTTTTGCAGCCACTAGACATCATGACAACACAGACAGAATTCCGTTTTCTCCAGGAGTTTCCTTTTTAAAACTCTTGGCCACCATGTATGGAAATAAGATGACTCATTCTAATCTACCACACTAAAATGACCTTAGCTTTGGGGGCTTCCTCATGGGGGTCTACACTGTTTTCTTTTTTGAGTAAGACAAAGTTGTCAAGGAAAGACAAGAATTGATATGTCTTTTAGTCAGCATGGACTTCTATAGCAAAATACCATAAACTGGCTTATCAACAACAAAACGTTATTTCCCACAGCTCTGGAGGCTGAAAGTCTGAGATCCGGGTGCCAGCACAGTCAGGTTCTGGTGAAGGCCCTCTTTCTTTTTTTTTTTAAGATTTTATTTATTTATTCATGATAGAGAGAGAGAGAGAGAGAGAGAGAGAGAGAGAGGCAGAGACACAAGGCAGAGGGAGAAGCAGGCCCCATGCAGGGAGCCTGACACAGGACTCGATCCCGGGACTCCAGGATCGCTCCCTGGGCCAAAGGCAGGCACCAAACCACTGAGCCACCCAGGGATCCCCAAGGGCCCTCTTTCTAGTTGATGGCTGACTTCTTGCTGTGTCTTCACATGGCAAAAAGTAGCTAGGTAGTTCTCCAACTTCTTTAAGGGCTCTGATCCCATTCACGAGGGCTCAACTCTCTTGACCCAGTTACCTCCCAAAGGCCCCAACCTCCACATACTATCACATTGGGATTAAGGTTTCAACATATGGATTTGGGGGGACCCAAACATTCGGTCCAGTACTCTGTACACATGAAATGTGTATGTTTTCATTTAAAAGTTATTAAAGTCGATATTTTTGTGTCTGAAAGCCTGAAGGAAGGGAAAATGGGGCTCTTTATTCCTTATCTATGCCCTCTGTCCACAGGATAGAGATTAAAGGTAAGCATTTAATCATTGGCTTTTAAAGTTAGGAACATAACATGATCTAGTTATGATCAAAGTACATAGTTTTCCAAATAAACTTAGAGTTAAGACTATGGATGGGGATGACTCACCCTTTCCCTTTTCCAAAGAGAATTTAGATATAGGTTGCATGGATTAGGTGGGAAATAAGTTATAAATCTGAAGGGTTTAATTATGACTCAGTCTGGAAACTTTTGATACTTAGAAGATTTTGCCCATTGACTGTTTATTGAGCAGGAATTGGGTGGCCAATGGTCCTGAATGTAGAAGTTCCTTGAGAGGGATTGTGAACAGGAATGTAGAGGCCAGGCACTTGAAATAGGAAATAAAAATTATTTCCCTTTTCCCTTGAGGAGGGTACTCTTGGAGAGCACGGCACTCTTACTGAGGTGGGGGAGATGGAGAAGCCCTGCACTATGCTCAGGGCGCAAGATTAGGATTGGCTTTTTAGGAAATAGACTATTGAGGTTGCCCGGCAAGGAGCTGTAATGAAGAAAAAAGTACTAGTTGGCCCAGTTCTTAAGGATTTAGGATTCTCAACAGGCATTACAACCAAGTAAGAATGAAGCTCTCTTTGGGGGGTGGGGCAAGGCAGTGAGTAGAGGGTCTGAAATAAGCCTTCACACTTGGAGGGATGATTTCCTTTTGTAGGGAGTGGAAAGAAGCATAAAAGCATCTCACAACGGGCTTGTGATACCTACAGTCTCTCCACACCTGAGACACAGGACAGCAGCAGAGTAGTCAGGGGTGGTGGTGTGCAACCCACAGCTCTCCTGCCCTGTCCTAAGGAAGAGTTCCTTCTCTCTCTCTCTCTCTCTCTCTCTCTCTCTCTCTCTCTCGTCTTCACTAGGGATTCAATTAAGTAAACAAACAAAAATGGGGTGTTTGTATGAAGCAGAATAAGATGCAGTATATGCTGACTCCAAGTGTAGCCCCATGGGCCTTTGGAATAAAGCAATCCTAATATCCCAAATGGCAGGAATGAGGCAACCTGACAGTTTTATACATCAAAGCAATTATATCAACAACTGAAAATTGTAAAGTAGATTTGTAAGCCATCAATCAGACCTTTGCAAATGTGCAAAGCCCTCAGGACTGGAGTGAACTGTCCTGAGAACAAAGTAAATCAACTGTGTCCCCAAGCCACTGACCCTGTTCTGACCAGCTAGAGCCGGCATCCAAACACTGTGAACCTGCTTTTGTAAATCAAATTTTATTAGAAACTCAGTCCTGACCATTTCTTTACACATTTCCTCTGGCTGCTCTCACACAACGGAAGCAGAAATTGCAACAGAGATCTTATGACCCCAAGAGCCTGAAAGACTTCTCTCCTTGCCCTTGAGAGAAGAAATTGGCCAACCCCTGAGCTAAAGAACAATCAAAATTTCCTAAATAGTGACATTTTGGCAGAGTTTATAATGAGCCCAGAGTTGGAGAGAATAAAGGGGTATGATACAAACAACACAGTGCCCAATAATATACAACACTGCAAATGTTGTATATGTCTTGAATACCTACTACGTAAAAGTCACTGCAGTAAGCCTGAGAACAGCGAAGACTCTGATCTTTTCTCTCAAGATTACTGGAATGTCAACCAATGCCAACCATGACAATGCTGTGTCAGAGTAGCATTAAATTAAAAGCTTAATTAGTTCCTCGATGTGTGTGTTCTATCTAAAACAATAGATGTATGTGAAGTAAAAAGTGAAATTACCTACACAACTCTCCCTCTCTCCAAGTAACTCATATAATTATGTGATTTCTTCTAGACCCCTTTGTCTTATTCCCATTCAAATCTAATCTCTGTCTTCCCACCTCTCTCTCTCTCTCTCTCTCTCTCTCCAACACCCACACAATGTTGATAACAAAAATGAAACTACATCGTTCTCATCAATCAATTGCCCCTTAAAAAAAAAAAGCTCAACAGCATATTAGGGTTTTCCCTCCACAACTGGCATATAGTGGATGGCTAACCCTATGCCCCCAAACTGATTGCCACTGGTACTGTAGGTGGACAGCATAGGCTCTGGATTCACATTGGTAGGGTTTGTATCCTAGTCCCATCACTTACCAGTTCTGTAACCCGGAGGAAGTCACTGACCTCTCCATGCCTCAGTTCCCATCCCACACCCCGTAAGTGGAGGAAATAACAGCTCCTGCTTCAGAGGGTCGTCACCGGCATTAAATGAGGTCATCTTTGTAAAACACAACAGTGCCTGACACAGAATAAGCCTTACATGTGTTGGAAAGTGTTAGCATGATCACAATCATTGCCATTAGTATGAAGAGCCAGGTGTCTGAGAATGCCCATGTCTTTAATAGCTCAACACTGATTCTGAAATCAAGAATTAAAAATATTGGCAAGAAAATAAGCAAAAAGCAGTGTGATATCCCATTGTGATTGATATTTAAAAACTTTCCTAAAACTATAATAAATATATAACACTGTCACATAATTTAATACATAAAGACCTATCCCGAGGTTTGCTTTTGAGTTTTGAATGCAGCCACTGACAGAAGTATTCTGAAAGATCTAATCCACAAAATGCCAAGTGAGTCACTGATAACTCTCTCCAGCAATGAAAATGCATTATCTGATGTCCCTGGCTGATTTGGGACCTACTTTACTGCACTTAAGGGAGGATGACTCACTCACCAGCCCCCTTCTTCTCCCACCCACCTGTCCACCCAACATTGCCACAGCGTGGGCTTCTTTGCATGAAATATGAGAAGGCTCCAAAAGTCTAGCTGCCTGTCTCACGGGTCTGGGTTGGGACCTGAAATTCCCACACTCCAAAATCTCTACTCTGGGTGAAAGCGACCTGTTCAAAAGACCCTATTAACATGCATATATGCCACTGGGGAAGGAGGAGGGAGAGGAATCCATTAAAAGTTAGCTCATACTAGTTTACAAGATTAGCAGTCACGAAAGGCCCACGCAAGTCTTGTAACTTCAGGTAGCTTGCTTGGTTTTAAAAAAAGAAAAGCAAAAGAATACTTGGCTTCTATTCCCATTTGAATTCCTAAATTTTGATCTTGTTGCCTTAAGGGCAGGACAAGGTTCAATAATCCTCATCAATTCTCATTAAGTTTTATAAATTCTATTCTCATTATGCCTGGTTAAATCTTGTGACTTCACTAATCTGGGTAGGATTTAATGATGCCTAACTGGACCTAAGAAAAGTTTAACAGTTTTTGTGACTTGAAAATGCTCTCCTGGATTTCATGTGACTTAAGAGGACCTGAGGGGAATGGTCAAGTCTTAAAAAAGAGGGTTATATCATAACCTGTTGGAGGCCTAACCAGCCAGCTGGAGCCAACCCTAACCAGCCTTTTCGTGACTTAATTCTAACACAAGAGTGGTTTTTTTTTTTTTTCTCAGGCCCACGAGAGGTCTTCTGCCCCTGAAACTAGTTCGAGCAGGATCCGTGCCTATCAAGGTCCTTGGGGGTAAAGACTCCATGAATTTGATCAAAGAGGCAGAGTTAGGCTTTGCAACCCTGAACAGGCAAAGAAGGAAGTTTAAGCCAGAAGCCTCAGCACTGACTAGTCAAGATGAACAGGATGTATCAAGAGTGAGCTTGACCGATAGCAGGTATCAGTAGTTTCTCAAAGCCCCCCAGAGCCCACTGCAGTGGCAAACATGCTTTCCCCCAGACTCCCAGGAACTTGGAAGGATGACTCATTGTTTTGATTTCCAGCACTCCCACTCAAGGTCAGGTTTCCATACAGTTCTGTCCTTAGCCTCTTTCTTGACCTCCATGCTCGTCTTCCTAAAACTGCATCTCAAAATGCAATCCATGGACTTGCGGTCTCATGATGTGTTTGTTTAAAGATGCAGATTCCTTGGCTCCACTGCCAAGCTTCTAAATCAGAATCTCAGGTGCAAAGCAAGGATTTTGCCTTTTGGTGAGATTTGAAGACGATTCAAAGGTTATTCAAACATGGATAGATAAATGGGG